GGAGGCTGGGGGTGCATGGGAAACTGGGAGGAGACACAGCTGGGACAGGTGATCCAAACTGACCAAAGGGATATTCCATATCATATATGTTCAGTATATATAGTGGAGGGAGGAAGGAGGAAGTAGGGGATGTTTGGAGTGATGGTGCTTGTCTTCCCATTAGGTGTGATGGGGTCCTACTTGCCTGGAGAAGACTGAGCAACTCCTGGCCATAGGAAACAGTGGATCAATTCCTTGTTTTGCTTTGCTTGCATGCATGACTTTTGCTTTCCTTATTAAACTGTCTTTATCTTAACCCATGAGTTTTCCAGCTTTTACCCTTCTGATTCTCCCCCTGATCTGACTGGTGGGGGAGTGAGTGAATTGCCTGCATGGTGCTTGGTTCTCAGGCGGAGTTAAAACCACAATAACCACAAAGAAAATGAAATTAACTTTCAATTTACTGTTGAAAAATCCTCTGGTTCACACCACACACACAAAATAAGTCATGCCTGGTTACCTTGAAATGCTACCATGCCTGGCACTGCCAAACTTTTTCTTCCTGGAGGAAATATCTGTATCTTTTCCTACATCTAAAGAATTACTAATCAGTTCAGCCACAAATGGAGATTTATTGACATGAAAGGGATGAGAAAGATCTTCTAGTATATTATAAGTATATGGCTATGTGAACTCACTCCATGGTAGTGCAGATAAAGCAAACTACTTTTCACAATTTCCTAGATTAGAGAATGAAATAAATATATTCACAAGAAAAGAAACAGCATTGAACCTTTCATATTTATAGTCACATCTAGTGGGGCATGGTGGCAGTCCAGTTTCCAGTTTGATAATCACTGTGCAAGCTGTAATGTACCACAGCCATCATAACAAACAAATAGCTATGACAAACAAAAATGGGAAGAGGGAATACAAAGAGTCACAGAGATATTAAATTATGTGCCAGAAACTGACATCAGGGTTTGTGGACACCTGTTCCATCTGCTATATATCAACCTACTTTCCATATACATTACATCTCAAGGCATGCTGTAATGTTTAATATATAGAGCACACAGTAATAAGAACTGCCTGTGTGATCTACAGTGAGGTCACAATGGAGACTGTTTTTATCCCTGTGGGATAAAAATTATTCTGTGTGGTCATTGTAATACATCAGTATCAGAAAAGCCAGAATACCCCCGCTATATATCAACCTACTTTCCATATACATTACATCTCAAGGCATGCTGTAATGTTTAATATATAGAGCACACAGTAATAAGAACTGCCTGTGTGATCTACAGTGAGGTCACAATGGAGACTGTTTTTATCCCTGTGGGATAAAAATTATTCTGTGTGGTCATTGTAATACATCAGTATCAGAAAAGCCAGAATACCCCCCCCCCATCCTATACAGTTATAATGGTTTTGCATTAAACTGTCTATGACAATTGCCTTTTGTTAAATGGTAACAATTTAGAGATACTGGGGAAGAACACTGGATCAAAGGGAACCAGATCTTTATAAAGCTAAAGGAAAGGACTTATATTCATTTACCTCTTACATTGTTGGTGTTTGTTGTGTGAATGTGGCAAATGGCAACTGTGTACAATGGCTAACAATAGCACCCCAACAAAGGAAGGAGTTCTTAACACTCCCTGCCTACCCCCTCCCTCCTGCCCCAGTTTGAACCGAGCTCCAGAGAGAGGGTGGCAAGGGGAAATTTTTCCTTCCTAGGGCTGGGCACACTGTGTGTGCCTCAGACCTGAATGGGTTTGCAGCAAAGGAACTTTGCTGAACTATTCTGATCCTCCAGTGGGGAAGAGCCACTGAAGAAACATAAGAAAACAACCCAGAATGGGGATAGCTCATGTGTTTATGCACATTCATTTAAAATGAAGGTTACCCTGTGCTTCATCTTCGTCATCTTTTTTGGTCTATGCTGTCTGCTCTTACTTTGAGCTCTTTGAGCAGAGGCTGTTTTTCAGATTTCACAGATAAAGTACAAAAAAGTTTGCATCACACTTTTTTGTTGTACCCTCTAGTGCCATATTCTCCCTCTCACTATTCTCCACTCCAGCAGCCTTTCTTCTTGGAATGGTGGCAGGACCTGACAGCAATATGTATTGCACCTCTCAGAGGGCTGCCCAACTAGCGTAGCATCCTGCGCATCAGCGTTCTGCATACAACACCAGACAGTGCTGAATGAGAAATACCATGACAAGTTTATAAGAAATAAAGGCCATTCATCTGCAGTACTGTGCTTTTGGGGAGTGACCTAGATACAGCCCTCGCTGTGCTGGGTGTAATGCAGATAGATGCCCTGTCTGGCAGAACCATATAGTCAAGAAATTCAGAGAAGGAAAAATAAGAAATAGCATTGCCCTTCTTTCACAAGTGAGAACTGAGGCACAGTTTCTTCTCCACCAAGATCAAAATGAACATCTGTGCCATGTAAAGGAAACAAATCTCAGAATAACAAGTCTGAGACACTTCTTTCACGTGGGGGATAGCTGAGATACATGAAATGGGCTTTTTATTGACTCTGACTTCATTCTTTCCCAGCAAGAAGACCTCAAGGTGTTACATAGTTTGAATGTGTTAAGTTCAGCCAATGTACCTCCAGTATTTTTTTCAGGGTAGTGATTAAAGATTAAGCATTACAAAGCATATTTTTGCACTGAATTTGACACAGTATTTCTAAAGTTCATGAATCTATAAAGTCCTGAACACGCTCTAGTGTATTAGACAGTGATTTACATTATTTTGAAGTTGCAAACAAGTTTTCAAGGGTAATGGATTTCATATAGAGAGATTAAAAGATAGCATTTCTTCATTTGTGCCTGCTGACTTCTTTCCCCCTATCATACTACATTAGCAAAATGAATAAAGCCGAAAGGATGCTGGTGTATTTTTATGTTAATTAACGTATTTTAATTTCAAATAGCATTTCTGAAGCTCAGATAGACTCCAAAAAAATGGTGCCAGGGCAAAACTAATGAATTTTAATTCTTTTCAGTATACTTGTGCCTTCATGAAATCTTACTTGTTATATTCTGGTGCATGAGAATGCACCAGTAGGCACTCAGAGCATACAGCCCACAGATCTGATTTTTACAGAAATTCAGCTTAACTTTTTTAGCTACATAATAAAGCTCACCTCAAAAGTGTGTTATTTTTAGTGACCAATTGGGTAACACCTAGAAAAAATGCATTCCTCGGGAAGGTAGGCCAACTTTGTAAAGACCTTTTTTAAAGCAAGACCTTGTAAGTGACAAGTAGTCTTTCTGCACAAAGGATGCATTTAACTGTTTCATGGCTAAATTGTGTATTCCCAGACAAAGTGTAAGGGTGTGCCACTCTTGCCCCAGAAAAGATGCAGCTAATAACTCACCCTTGCTGGTTAAAGTAGCGTGATGTGTCCCTTAGGGTAGTTAAACTGAAACTCCACTGCACTAACTCTGCTCTAACATGTCTTGGAGCACCTTGGAAAACTCTTGGTTCCTTGGAAGTGCGAACAGTTTTGGCCATGCTGTTGTAAAATAGAAATCTCCATGGGCTCTGCAGCATGCCCACAGCCATTGGAGCTGGGCCAGTGACTATATTCTAATGCTGATGGTGAGGGGCACAAGATGCAGCCTTTTTTAACAGCATGGTCCATGGATTGCACTGCTCCAATCCCAGACAATTTGAATAACAGTTCTTAGCTCACTTCCCCTCCAGGCGCAGCTTCACTGGCAAAACACTGGCCTGCTGTAATATACTTGAGCATGCTGTTGAGAAAAGGGCACAATAAACCAGCCTGTCATTTGTGTAACACTTGTCATAGCAGCAGTATAAAACCAATGACATTGCTGGGAAGGATTCTTGGTACTCATCAGGTCATTAAATGATGCTTCTTTTTACTTCCAGAACTGTAGCACACCTGGGTGCTTGTATAAAGCAAGAGCACTGCCCATAATTTACTGCATTGCAGTAAAATCAACAATGCAGCATTCTGCAGAGCCAGACAAATCTCATATTTGATTAGCTAAGTGAATAGAGAGAGAAAATATGCTCCTCCCAAAATATTTTTAATCACATTACTATATTTCTTGTTTGTAACCCTCCAGAACCTTCCCTATGTAAGTCAAGACTGGTAGCTCTTGAAACCAAAATGTCATTCTGAAACCTGATTTGAACCATTTCTTTTACCAGTAGCGAAGCTATAGTTGTATTTTTTTAATTAGAAAAATTGCATAGTGTAAGATACCACAGTTTAGGAAATACAGAAGTTGTCAACAGACTTAATTATTTTTATCTGTGAAAAACTGACACATTATAAACCTTTTTCTTGTCTGTAAAACTGAGAGGTTTATTCCAGGTCTTCTTGAACCATGATAGATTTTTATTTTTCTCAGTAAAAGTTTGAACATTGAATAAATATAATTTCCTTTTATTTAAATGAGGATTAAAATAATTGTTTTAGTATTGAAATAATCTACTCTTGGTATAAGTTTGCAGTTTGTTGTTCCCATCTGAAACATGAAGGTAAGAAAGACAAATCATCATCTCAGCTCAGGGGGAGGGATCTTCACAACTGTTGAACAAGTAAGAATGAAGATGAATGGATGCTTCTTTTAACTTAACCATCTCCTCAATACAAAAAGTGCTAGGCTTTGTGGAATGAACATTCATCTGTACTCCAAGATTCCATAAGTTAGCAAAATAAAATTTAGGTTTCAGAATTTCCTTAGAAGCCAAAACCTGAGTTCTCTGCATGAAGATTGTACAAACTCATTAAATCACAGCCCATTAGGGCCAGTGGGAGGTTTTCTTCTGGAATAAAAGAGCTTTCATACAGAATATCGACACTATAAATTCTGAAGTGAAAGACACATGAATTTACAAGTAGGAAATACATACAAATAGAGGACCAAATAATATAAACCAAAAACCTTAGCCAAAGACTTTGGTTTAGAGCAGACTAAATGAAATAACTTCTATCATTAATCCCTTCAACATATAGTAACTCTACATTATCGTTCCAGGTACCTGGGAATAACAAGACCTCTCACGTACCCCGTAAGGCAGAATGGGAAGTGTATGGCCAAAATGATCCTGTGTGTATGGCTTCTGTCTGCCTCGATCACCATTCCCCCGCTCTTCGGCTGGGCCCAAAATGTAAACGACGAAAAGGTTTGTCTGATCAGTCAAGACTTCGGCTACACCATTTACTCCACAGCAGTTGCATTTTATATTCCAATGTCAGTGATGCTTTTCATGTACTATCAGATTTACAAAGCTGCCAAGAAGAGTGCTGCTAAACACAAGTTTACTGGTTTTCCCCGGCTGGAAGAAACTGATGGAATTTCTATGAATGGAGTTGTAAAGTTCCACAAGGAATCTGAGGAATGCACTAATTTTTCACGACTCCTAAAGCATGACAAGAAAAACATTTCCATCTTTAAAAGAGAACAGAAAGCTGCCACTACTCTTGGGATTATCGTGGGGGCTTTCACCATCTGCTGGCTGCCCTTCTTTCTGCTCTCGACCGCAAGGCCCTTCATCTGCGGTACAGCTTGCAGCTGTATCCCACTCTGGGTGGAGAGAACATTTCTATGGTTGGGTTATGCAAACTCTCTCATTAACCCTTTTATATATGCCTTCTTCAACCGGGACCTACGGACAACTTATCGCAACCTCCTGCAATGCAGATATAGGAATATCAACCGGAAACTGTCAGCTGCAGGGATGCATGAGGCTCTGAAGCTTGCAGAAAAGCCAGAATTTGTTCTGTAAGGTCACTCATCCTTTGCTATGATAGTCTATTGGTTTATTATGTTAGCCTTTTTCCCCACAGATTTGAAAGAAGAGTTATGGGAAGAACCAGGCTTCTTGAGCACTGTTAATGCAGTCGTCAAGAAACTGGAAGGTAGCAAGGTTAATTCTTGTACAGCCCACCAGTCCTTGCAAGCCTGCAAAGACAAGAACACCATCTAAAGAATTTTTATGTAAGAGGAATATGAGAAAGGAGGAGAGTAAAGTGTGCTGCAGGATGTTTGAGTTGCTAGTGAGGAAAGAGCAAAGTTGGCCTAAGGCCCAAAAAACTTTTAGAAGGTCTGAATGTTGGATGCATCTTGTATCCTAGAGATTCTTTGCTGTAATAAAGACCTGAGAATAGTGAAAATTTCACTATAATTCATTGCTTTCCACTTTGTTATTATAAAAATAAACCATTTAAGAAGATGCTGGATCAAAGAACTTCTATTGTTTAGAAATATTCTTTATTATAAAATCCCATATGTTCATTAAACATTAATTTACTGGATTGTCTGGGAATGAACTACTTTGTGAAATTTAATGTTGCCTTTGCACAGCAGCTCTGGCACTGAAAGAATACTTTATACTTCCAATGTGAGTATAAGAGTCTGAGCGAAGGCACGTGGACCGACATCTACTGCTGCCTAGAGTCATGCAGCACAGTTAGCTGCAGTGTTGGTATGCCAAGGTAATAGACCTTGTCCTATATTGCTAACATAACAGAACTGTCTGACTACAGTTTATTCCAGGATCTGTCTTGTCTTTGTCCATTCTTTAATTCTCTTGGCTTTCTCAGCTGAATGCTTCTCTAATCTAGATGGAGATTCTGTCTGTGCTCAAGTCATTTCTGTTGATGTGTGGCTAGTCCTTGTTCCACTTCAGTAGTTAATTTATTGTCTATTTGAAAGCTCTTCTAGGTTCTTGGGATTTCTTTCTCTTCTGAAGTCAGTAAGGAAAAAATAAATGTAAGAATTTATGACTTCAGAGATATCTGGACTTTAGCCTTGCAAACTGATTTTAGTCATCACTTCTGCTTAAAATGATTTAAAGCCTTGGCCTGTGTAAGAATCAAGATAATTTACCATTTCTGGTTCTAGCTGTTTCTGCTACCACTGCAGCTTGTCCAAGAATGTGATCCTACTTCTCCTGACTTTGGTAACAAAGCTCTCTGCTCAGAGGAGAAAGGCCAAATAATATAAAAATGTTTTTATTTTAGAAACAACTATAAAGACATTGATTTTATTAATATATTAATAGTAATTTATTAATATAACATGCTCTGATTAAGATATTACTCTAACAACCTAAAATAGCAATAAACCAACTCACAAGATCAAGATACTTTCTCTGGACTGAGTCTGCACTGCACACCATGTTCCAGATGAAGCAGAGGGTACACTAGTGAACAAAGACTTCTTCAGAGCTTGATCTACTTTTGCAGATATTGGGACTTCAGTGAGGAGACATGTTCATTATCAAATTGCCTCAGCATCAAGTCACACTTTAGGCTAACTGAAGACAAAATGACTTAAATGAGTTCAGTGACGTTAATTTGGGCTAAGTAGTGAGAAGTTTGTGCCAGATCCCTTGTTCAAAGCATACAGACGTAACTGAAAACACTTGAGCTCTAAGTGGCAGATACACAAGACCTGGATTGATGTGCTGAGCTATGTGTACTGAAACACGTTTAGAGTCATTTTAGATAGATTTATACACTAGGATACATACAGTAAGAAGTACATTTTGGCCTCATTTTTAGAGGCAGATCATAGTTTTGTAGTAGTAAGAGATTATATTCCAAATTCAAAACAGTTTTATAAAGAAGTTTTAAATTGATTTGGAACAGTCCTATTTGTTTTAAATATTAACATTATGCTCAGAAGGACAAGAAGATATGTTGGTCCAGAATATCCACAAGCTCTGAAGTACAGAGTAGAGTTCAGGTTAATTCAAGCACATTTTCCATATTCAATATGAAATTATTGTCAGACTTTGTCTCCCTATCAGAGTAGGATTTTTTTGGTTTCCAGAACAAGTGAGGCATTTTCAAGACCTTTAGTAATTTTTTTTTTCCTCTATCTAAGGATATACAAGAGAATACACAAATAAATGTATTTGTGAAGATTCCAAGTGGGACTATCAAACTCTGAAGGTGATGTTTGAATTTTGAGCAGAAGTTTCAGCATTTTTATTCTGCAGTAAAGTCTGAGAATTTGTGTTTCCTCCAAATAACGTTTTTTTAAAAAATGAAAGATGTGTCTTATGAGTCAGAAATTGACATTTGCCCAGCTGTCACTAAAGGCAATTGCTTTCCTCAGGGAAAACATCCTGCAGGACTCCAGCTTTCCTCTACCATCTGTTTCAGGTAATGAGAGCCCAGGAAAGAACAAGAATTGTTATGGGCTGTGTCCCAATCCTTGAAGTTTTTGGAGATAAACAGCCACCTTTCATCTCTGGATATGCTTGGAAAGAAAAGAAAAACAAAAGAAAAAAACCAACAATTTTCTTCATACACTCAACCCAAAATATAGGTAAATGGAAGCTGTTGTTAGATGGAGCTGTATGTGAGGGGAAAAGTTAAGAAGTTGAGAAGATGAAAAGAATGTCCCATTGCCCAAGCACACGGGTCATAAAAAAAGATGTTGAGAAGAGGAGAAAGTTTTCAGACAGAATTCTAATGGAAAGAAGTTTAGATAAGAATAAGGAAATAATTGTTGGGGTTCAAGAACAGGACACTAGACTTTTCAAAAAAGATAAAGAAATAGAACTGCCTCACAATATCTAACTGCAGCAGTAGCATTTTTTAACAGATAATTCACTACACATCTGATGAAGGGATAGCATATGGATTAGCGAATGAGAAGTGTACATGATCATGTGTGCAGCCTGGTATGTATGTGCTTTTACCAAACCCAAGAAGAGATTGCACTCTTGGTCTATGTTGTCCTTTCGCATGTTTCTAGAAGAAAGCAAGAGTGGTGAATCAGTTAGATGGGGTGGTGAAATAAATGGTAATAAAGACTCCTAGAACCAACCAGAGCACAGGGAGGCCAGTGTAACACTGAATGAAGAGAGAGAAAGGGAAAGATGAGATATTGGAAGGAAGACATGGGAGCAGTTCTAAGCTTCAGACTTATGATATTTACTTTTGGGAAAATAGGCAAAAGTGTAGAGGCAACAAAAGTACATAACCTAAAGGGGAGCTGGACTCTGCAGGCCAGCACTGCTCCGCACTTAACAAAAATCTAGTTTCAACAAAAGAATAAATTAAAAACAGCATGAAGTGTGGCTTAACTTTAGGTAAGATGTGTTGAAATGAAATCTAAGCCAATCTTTCTTTTTAAGAAGCAGTTCATGTCGTCTAAATGCACAAACTTAAGTCACAGAAGGATGTGGATGCTGGTGACAGCTCACTCTGCAACCTCACTCCTGGGACATTTGGAGGGTTTAAGTTATGTCATCCTTAAGCAACAGTCTGAGATGTGAGAAGTCCCACATTACCCTCAGAGTATGAAAGACTTGAAGTATTGGACAATCTCGGGTTTTCTATGAAAGTAACTGTCATTTTGCATAATGTTCGAGTGCTTGACAGGAAAGGTTGGAGTTGTTCCTCAGGTGCACAGGGCAGCACCGTCTGCAATACAAGAGAGCATGGAAAAGCTATCCTAGAGAACAGGACTGCCATTTTACTATAGTGCAGAACTGAATTCTGCAGCTGAATTCAGCTGAGCCCCGGCTGAATTGTTTTCTGAGGAAACTCATTGCAGATTTTGTTGCAGCTACTGTACCCACATTCAGTTTTTCTCATTAGAAAGCTCAGTCATATTGCTGTACATCCTAGACCACCTTCCTATCAGCTTGTAGTTCTGACATTGGTTTCTAGCCACTGTGGAATTTCTGAATGGTGATGGTGACAGGCAAATAGGACCCATTTTTTCTTCTGTTTTCTAGATGGACAAGTTTTTTTAAACAGTCATGCTTAGTTCATGCACATGTTGCACTTATGTTTTCTTTCTGGGGTCTCATGAGGCTTCTTAGGATTTTTTTGCTTCGTCTATAAATCTGGAGTTGGAAATTTTCTCTCCATAGGGAGGGAAGGAGTCAACACAATGCAATTCTGGGTTAGGGCTCTTTTTTGCTTTTTGGGGGAAATGTAGCTGGGTACGCTGGTTCAAGGGATGACCAATTGGCTATACCATACCTCAGAAAGACAAAGTGATACTGGAAAGTGATCACTGGAGAGTGATTACCATAGTCTGAGGTAGGAGCTAAGAAAATCAGGAGGCAGCTGTGCAGCTGTTGGCAACATCTAGAACTCCTTTTCATCCAGCACAAGCAGCCACTCAGTCACAGCCTTTAGCTGAAGCATGAGATCTTCAATTGCTGCCAGAATTATGTAGGGATCAACACAGGGAGATGCCAGTCAGACCTTCTTAACTTTGTACAACTCTTTGTTCACCTCTAAGTGTATGTAAAGATCCTCAAGAGAAGCCATTGAGTGAGGCAGTTCCCTAAAAGGAATTTTAGACACAGCTGTGTCAGAGATCCTTCACTAAACCCACTTTTCAGTGTCACAAACACATTTTACCCAAGACAAACATCAGCTATGACCAAACTAAAAGCCAAAGACCATAGCTTGAAAAGAGCAGAGTCCCCTCCCATGCCCCCAGCACACACACACACACACACTCTCATTCTATGGTATTAGCAATACCTTATCCATAAAAGGAACACTAGCTATCAATGGATCCCAGATGAAGGAGTCCTAAATGAGCCTCCTTTACCTGCAACAGTCCATAGTGTGTCTCACATCAATAATAATACAGCCAATGTACAGACTGCAGTTTACCAGAAAGTCCCTTGCATCCTTTTCTCTCATCCTGCTTAGATGCAACACATTTGTGTCAATTTTCCTCAATGAACAGGGCACAGAGCAGCTTATGGTGATGGGACCAGATGAATAGACTTAGACTGAACAATTCTCCTCAGTGTACGCCCTTGGAGCAGTTTGATTTCATGCTTTTGTGAAGAGCTTAGAGTGGCTAGATTTCATTTTTCCCTTCTCATCTTGGACCCTTCCATCT